CTCTTCTGGTATGTGTTGTCGGGGTCAACCCTTATTACCTGCACCAGTCCAGACGCCGTCACGACTGGCAAACGTAAGTTATTTAACTGTGCAAAGAGCCTGTCCACGCTGGCTAGTGCGACAGAACGAGATCCGAATAGCAGCCCAACGGCATCAACTGATTCGGTTGCACCAAGAGCAGCGCCAAATTCAGCAACAACAGCGACAAGCAAAAGAAGAGCAGTCGGGAAGACAAAGAAAGAAGTGCAAAGAGAAAAATCAGAAAGTTGATAATGCAGCAAAAATTAATTGCACGCCATGCAACATTAGTGCTACTCGTAAGCTGATATGTGCATGTCATATAATCTCATTTGCTCAATGATTTTTATCGCCATATTTCCACCTAGTTTCACGTATAAACTAGTTTACGTCTGGGTCATTTCACTTACTTTTAATAACCAATGATGCTGCTTATCTAATTATGTGATGGTAGACACTAATAAACGAACGATTGTGCTTTAACTATTTACAAGTAATTCATCAGATTCTCCTAATTATAGTCTTATGTTCCGTAATATCCCGCACACATTTCTGACACAAATATTGAACTGGCATATTCTTTGTGGAAATGCTTTAATAACGTACATATATTTATATTTCAACACTGCATCAAGTCATAATCTTCGTCTAAACGTATTCGCCTCATTCTTCCCTATTCACATGTTGTTTAACTTAGCTGTAAACGAGTCATTAAGCCCTATCTCTAGACCACTCCTATGCCGATCTCATCCATATGATCAGGTGATTAAGCTTTTTCTAATTCCAGTCATTCAGCCATTGAACGTATTTGCTAATATATTCTTCTGTGTTGATGACGAAATGAAAGTCTTCATATCAATCTTTTCTCAGGTGATTCTTTGAAACCCGCATTTTATTCGTATACTCTTCCTTAGAGTAGTTGCTTTTAAAGTTCTACTGTTAAGAACAGAAGCCAACTCAAACTTAGCTCTAGATTCGTCTTACAATTCCGTAACTTCACGTGACGGAATCAACGGGGCTTAGCTTCTGAGCTGGCAAAGATCTTTTTTTAATCATTGGTAGACAAAGCCTACGGAAACATTTTTTTAAGGACTTTAGAGCCTAGCGTTCATCATTTATGCCTATAGAGTCTTGTTTTTCCACTAATACGGACCGCTTTCGTTCAAAATTCGCAGTTTCATGCATAAAAATGAGCATACAAATGTAAACTCCGAAACTTATAAGGGATATAAACCCTGCATTTTGCAGTGATCACAGAGAATAAATTACGGTTCCTCTTAATTTAGTTTGCCTACTTAATTCGTGAATTCTTTTTATGCATGTGCATAAATTTGTTATGAGATATAGAATACAAATTTAGAATTACAAGTATGGACTACCTTTAAATAAGCAATTTTACTTTCTCCTGTTTTGACATAACTTATAATCTAAATCAAGATGCTACCAAATATTGCATTCATACTGTCGCCCTTATGCTTCGCAATCATTATTGTGAAGTATTTGTGCCTCGTTGGTTGAAAGGACAAGGCAGACGAATCCCTATAGTTCACATGCGTACAACGCATTTGCTTTTATGAAATCCACTAACTCTGTCAGGAGAATCTTACTCATTACTTAAATTTATTGACTATTTTATTATGAATAAGACTCCTTGAGCAGTCCCCTTTAGCTGTATAATGTTGGTTCGACCTCGTTATCACACCATGGTCGGGGCGATTGGAATATACTGTGGAATGTACCTATTCCTGGGTTCTGCTATAGTATTCATGATAATTTTTGGCATTCCTTGACCTTCTATCCTTACATCTTCTACCCTTGCCTTAACAGATAATGGCCCCTTGGAAGAAGTTTCGCCTTGGTTGGAGAGAGTCGTCTTCCAGGTGTGGGACTTTGATGCACCATCCTTTTCTGTGCCTTCCTCTAGAGGGCCTTGTTCCTCATCGTCTCCACTCTTTCCTCGCCATAACCCTGATGCCCTATTGCCTTGCAGATCTTCTCTTGATATACCATATTCAGGGATACCACGTAGTGACTATATGTTGGATAGTCTACACTCAGGAGTACATACTTCACTTAATCAACAGCTGTGTCAACACCCTTGTCGTCATGATCAATCATATATGGACGTTGGTAGATACGACCCCTCTTTAAGCCTATCCCCACAAGATGGAGTTGAGCCTGGAGAGGCCACTGGAGCCAAAATGGTCGAGCTCAATTCTAACTGTGCAGGCGGTGAAGGGGAAAGAAATCGTTCAAGACAGTCTGCCAACTCTACCGTCGTAGCTGACAGAAAAAGAGCTTCCGGGTATTTATTCTAAAATTTAAAGAGTATAGTGTAACTATTAAATAGATCGGTTGAGAACATGGAGATAAAGAGAGGTGAATGTCAAATAACTGGAGTGAAAGAAAAGAGGGCATGGATAGAATGGGTTATGGAGGATAATTGCTTAAAAAGTTAAGGTATAGGGGATTGGGCAGATCTTCTACATCTCCAGTATATTGAATATCATGACACTTTTCTGACTCGCGGATTTGACCAGTTTGCGTCATATAGGAATTTGACCAGATTACCCATTGTGTGAAGACTAAGATAGTCACGTTATCCCTTTGTTGTATAGAGATGGTTTGGCCTCGTTTTGACAATTTGGTCCTATTGTCAAGGCATGTCGTTCTCGTGCTGGATACAAAATTAACTTAACGCTTCAGTTTACCTTATCACATTTCAGCATGTGCAGCAGTTTAATTTCGTTGTTAAGCCTTTACTTCACTAATCAATTCTATGATCCGACCAGACTATTGCGAGCCAACTATATCTCTTGCGCTTCCATCAATAATCTCAAGCCTTCAAATTTCCTCTGCCCAAGTCTTTTGTCTGTCAACTAGCAAATGATGTACTTGTTACCTGCTTTGATCAGGCTCATCGTAGATGTCTCCTCTTGATTTCTGCTTCTTCCTTAGTAGTCTCCTTCTTACAATTGCTTTTCCTCATATGCAAAATATCTCCTAGATATAGTCTTTATTTTGTTGAGCTTATTGTTTCCTGACCTCCGGGTTTGTTTAAATCATATACAAAGGTTTCGCTAATTCTACATTCTTCCAGGCTCCTGTTCATTACATATCAATGGCCTCTCCAACCTTGGATTTTCTTGTATTTTCACGTTGTATGGTCAGCCTTTCAGTCGATTTTCAGTCCATTACATGTCACGTCCGTTTAGTGTGCTCCGCTCTTTTATTTTTTTCCTTATTCATATTTCTGCTGAATAGGCTGATTTTTTTTCAAGTTGTCAGCTGCCATTTATGAACCCTACATTCCTTTGTATGATTTCTCTTGGATTCTCGTTAATAGGGAAAATTCTAATAGGTT